AACAACCTGGAGGAGCTGTTCCACCTCCTCAACTTCCTGACACCCGAGCGCTTCAAGTGCGTCACCTGGAGGTCACCTGGGTCACCTGGGGTCACCTGGGTCACCTGGGGGTCACCTGGGGTCACCTGGGTCCCCTGGGGGTCACCTGGGCCACTCCTGGCATCTCCTGTCATCTCCGGTCACCTCCTGCCATCTCCTGTCATCTCCTGTCCCACCCAATCCTGGTGTCCCCACCAAGCTGGAGAGGTTCCTGTGTCCTCTCCATGTCCCTCCAGCCCACAGCTGTGTGCTCGTGTCCCACCGTGTCCCACCGTGTCCCTGTGTCTCCATGTCCCACCGTGTCCCTGTGTCTCCATGTCCCACCGTGTCCCACCGTGTCTCCATGTCCCACCGTGTCCCACCATGTCCCACCGTGTCCTCGTGTCCCACTGTGTCCTCGTGTCCCACCATGTCCCTGTGTCTCCATGTCCCACCGTGTCCTCATGTCCCACCGTGTCCCATCGTATCTCCATGTTCTCATGTTCTCGTGTCCCACCATGTCCCACCATGTCTCATGTTCTCATGTTCTCGTGTCCCACCATGACCCCGTGTCCCCATGTTCTCATGTCCTTGTGTCCCACCATGTCCCCATGTTCTCATGTTCTCGTGTCCCACCATGTCCCACCATGTCCCATGTTCCAGTGTCCCTGTGTCCCACCGTGTCCCTTCATGTCCCTTCATGTCCCACCACATCTCCATGTCCCACCACGTCCCCATGTCCCACAATGTTCTCATGTCCCACCACATCTCTACATCCCCATGTCCCACCACGTCCCACCATCTCCTCACGTCCCACCATCTCCTCACGTCCCACCATGTCCCCATCTCCCCATGTCCCACCACGTCCCCGTGTCCCACCACATCCCCATGTCCCCATCTCCTCACGTCCCACCACATCCCCATGTCCCACCACATCTCCATGTCCCACCACATCCCCATGTCCCACCACATCCCCATGTCCCACCATCTCCCCATGTCCCACCACATCTCCACGTCCCACCACGTCCCACCACGTCCCACCACCACCACCACCTCTCGGTGTCCCCACCCTCACCTCCTCCCCACCACCCCCCAGCAACCTGGAGGGCTTCCTGGAGGAGTTTGCCGACATCTCCAAGGAGGACCAGATCAAGAAGCTCCACGACCTTCTGGGTCCCCACATGCTGCGGCGCCTCAAGGCCGACGTCTTCAAGAACATGCCGGCCAAGACGGAGCTGATCGTGCGCGTGGAGCTCAGCCCCATGCAGAAGTAGGGAGATGTCCTCTTCTTCTCCTGCTTCTCCTTCTGCTTCTCCTTCTGCTTCTTCTGCTTCTTCTGGTTCTGGTTCTTCTAATCTGCTTTTTCTGGTTCTCCTTCTGGTTCTCCTTCTGGTTCTGGTTCTTCTTCTTCTTCTGCTTCTTCTGGTTCTGGTTCTTCTTCTTCTTCTTCTGGTTCTGCTTCTTCTTCTTCTGCTTCTTCTGGTTCTTCTTCTGCTTCTTCTGGTTCTCCTTCTGGTTCTTCTGCTTCTTCTTCTGCTTCTTCTGCTTCTCCTTCTGGTTCTCCTTCTGGTTCTGGTTCTTCTGCTTCTTCTGGTTCTGGTTCTTCTTCTTCTGCTTTTTCTGGTTCTCCTTCTGGTTCTCCTTCTGGTTCTCCTTCTTCTTCTTCTTCTTCTGGTTCTGCTTCTTCTTCTTCTGCTTCTTCTGGTTCTTCTGGTTCTCCTTCTGGTTCTGGTTCTTCTTCTTCTGCTTCTTCTGGTTCTGCTTCTTCTTCTGCTTCTTCTGCTTCTCCTTCTGGTTCTGCTCCTGGTTCTTCTTCTGGTTCCTCTTCTTCTGGTTCTTCTGGTTCTCCTTCTGGTTCTCCTTCTTCTGCTTTTCTTCTTCTGCTTCTTCTTCTCCTTCTTCTTCTGATTCTTCTGCTTCTGCTTCTTCTTCTCCTTCTGGTTCTCCTGGTTCTCCTTCTGGTTCTCCTTCTGGTTCTCCTTCTGGTTCTCTTTCTTCTGCTTTTTCTGCTGCTTCTTCTGCTTCTTCTTCTTCTCCTTCTGCTTCTTCTTCTGCTTCTTCTGCTTCTTCTGGTTCTCCTTCTGCTTCTCCAGGTTCTCCTGCTTCTTCTGCTTCTTCTTCTCCTTCTGGTTTTTCTTCTGCTTCTTCTGCTTCTCCTGCTTCTTTTGCTTCTTCTTCTTCTCCTTCTTCTCCTTCTTCTGCTTCTTCTGCTTCTGCTTCTGCTTCTTCTCCTGGTTCTTCTGGTTCTCCTTCTTCTGGTTCTTCTTCTTCTCCTTCTTCTACTTCTTCCTCTTCTGCTTCTTCTGTGTCTTCTCCTT